TTTTTGTATTACTGTTATTAAACATTATTAAGCTGGGAAAAATATAAAAATGAATTTCTAAACTGTTTAACCCAATTTTATGATTTGTGTGCCTTTATTCTAATAAAAATTGAAATAAATAGAAAACAGTTTCCAAAATAACCCAAACTTTTTTTATTACTGTTATTAAATATTATTAAGCTGGGAAAAATATCAGAATGGATTTCTAAATTGTTTAACCCAATTTTATGATTTTTGTGCATTTATTCTAATAAAAATTGGGTTTAAGTGTATTTAATCTTGGGAAAATAGAAGAAAACTAGTATACAGAAGAGAAAAATCATCAAAAATTTTATGTAGCATCCTAATGTACTACAAGGTGTTCTGGTAAGTTTTCATGAACTTTGGATGAGCAGGACTATTTTTTCTATTTTTAGGCCATTATAAATACAAAAATCGGGGAAAAATAGGAATGCAATATGAAAAATTCTGAAAATATTTTTCTAAGTCTTCCACATAGAATATAAGCTTCGAAAATTGTTAGGTAGCCATTTCACCTTCGCTAAAGTGGTTTTATGATTTATTGGAGCTAAACAAAAAGAAAAATCCAAACCATACTAAACAGTAACAAAAATCGATGAAATATAATGAGGGGTCATTATTTAGCATAGGGGCCATCCACGAATTTTTCTAGGATTTATTTACTAGTGTAAGTATTTTCTATGATTTAACACTCTAGTTTTTTATTATTTTCATGTAAAAATAAAGAAAATATATATTGAGCTGAAAATTTCCAGAATGCATCTTCATACAATTTAATAACAATGAAAAATTGTTTTCTTATTTTTGATGTCGAAAAACATGCCTAAACGCTCAATAAATTATAGAGAAAACTTGGTTCTTGTGATTTTGGTAAAGATTATTGATGTTACTTTGAGAATTTTCGCAACATGTTCCAAAGAGTTTTGAATCAATATCTTTTTGTACCTCTTAATACATGATGTTAAGAGTTCAAAATAATTTTTGAATTATTTTTAATGATGAATAAGTCCTTTGAACATGCAACACAAAACAAATGTTCATAAGGAAAGTGCTGTTTGAGCAACAGTTTTGTAAAAATTTTTAAAAATCGAAATATTGGAATTTTCCAGTGAGGTCGGATGGGTTTGAAAGCTAACTCAAAATATTATATTTCAGAAAACGAATCACGAATTTTAGTTAAGAAATGAGTGGGATATGGCAGTTTAAAGTCAGGTAAAGAAATCTGGCAGATTGCATGCATGATGATTGGTTAGAAAAGTGAGTTTTCATCATTTCCTTGAGTAAATCTTTTGAAATATTTTAAATATATCATGATAAACTCATATTTTAGTCATGTTTCCAGAGATCAAAAGATTAAAACTTATCAAAATGTATACATGCATTTATGAACAAAATTTTGTTTCTCAAAAACTCTTAACTTGAGTTTGATGTTTTAATCCTTAAAATCAATTTTTGCACTAAGATCATGAATATGCAACCTTGTTTATAATACATGCATGGCGTTAAAACACATCCATAATGTTCTAAAAACCATTTTAGCAAAAAGAAAACAAGTTTGAAGAAGATGAAGAAGGAGAAAGTGTAAGAAAAATAGCAAAACTTGAAGGAAAAGTGAAGTAGAAATCAATTTTACCTTCAAGAACACCACAAGATGATGAAGATTTCGTGTTTGAGGAGTGTTCTTGGGTTTGTTTTCTGGAAAATTTCGTGGTTCTTAGAGGGAGGAAGAGAGAATGGAGTGGTGTTTGGAGGAAAAAATTAGAGAGAAGGTAGAGAGAGTTTTCTAGAGAGAGAAAGAAGAGAGATGTGTGTGTGTTGGAGAATGAGAGTGTGAGAGAGATATGGGGAGAGAGGGATCCGAATTTTTGAGTATAATACTCATTTCTCATTCATTTTCTTTTATAAAATTTAAGTTCTTTTATAAAATTTAAGTTCTTTTATAATATATCTCAATTTTTATATAAAATGTGCACTAAAATCAAGTTTTTATTCATAAAACCTTAATTTTTGATTTATAAATTAAGGGTAAATGTTAATGAGTTAAATTTTATTTTCCATGAATGCATTTTTATAATTTTAATTTTTATAAGATCATATTATGAGGTTCATAACTATTTTAAGGTTAAATTTCATAATTTAGGTTTTTAGGGCATTTAGGGTTTTTGAGAGTTTGTAAATCTTTGGATATCAAAATCAATAGAATCTTTGAGACTTAAATTTATCTTATGGTATTATAACTCTTTTATAGTTATAATAATGTTTATAACTTATTTTATCGGCTTATTGGCATTTCTATGTAGTGGTTTCGAGATTCAAGCGAAATTGAGGAAATCAAGTATACTAGTCCTAGTTTTCAACTATGACTTAAGTTTCTATGAGACTATGACCTAATTTCCACTACTAGGTCAAGTGTAAGATGGGTGTATATGATTAATGAAATGGTGTTCGAGTCAAAGAGTGACCCGAATATGGATAGCCGCTACAGTTAAGTAGTTATAGAATCCACATATCAATGTGAAATCTAAGTACATTATCCATTGTTTCTAATTGTTTCCAAGTTCCTAGTAGGTTATAACTTAGCTTCTAGTTACTAAGTCTAGTATGTGTCGTGCCTATACGTGCAACTAAGTTTATTCAAATCTAGAATCGACTCGAATTTTGACGGTTGTCACACGTGAGTTAAGGAAACCTAACGGACGATGACAAAATCCCAGAAGCCCGATATTAATATGAGTGTTATACTTAAAGATCATTGTTGAAGAAATAGTAGTCAATGGTATACATGGTGTCTATAATACCAGACTTGTATGTTGATATTAGAAAAAGATTCTTAAAGGTAATCTTGTGATGGGTGAGAAATTATGCAGAATTGAGGTTACCTATAGGCAAATAAACGTTTCAACCAAATGGTTGGTATAAATAGATTTATATTATAATTGTTGAAATTGGTTTTTAGAAAGAATTCAGTGATCTTTCTAAGATATGTTTATTAAAAGAATCGTAGAAAAATCTATAGGAAAACTTGTATGAAACTAAGCTTGGTGTCAATGCTATAATGGTATGATGTATGATTATTAGTAATTGTGAAAGAAATATGCGGTGGACGAATTTAAGGTAGATGTTATTAATCCCAATGTAGGTATCCTCTAAATACCTAGGTAGATTAACCACACTATTAGTATAAAGTGGGCATGAATTGATTGGTGAACATTGATTGTAATTGAGAAAAAGAAAATAATAGGTTAAGCACTAACATGTAAAGTGGAAGGATAATTTCATGCATATATTTATAAAGAAGGTCAGATGTATGACTAAAAAGAAAATTAAATAGTTTTCACAGATGATTAATCAAGAAGGGTTTACTTCTTGACGGGATGTAGTTTAGAAACAATTACCTTTTGGGTAGAATGACATAATTGGAATAAAAAGGAAAGTGTATGTCCCAAACAATGAACCAACTAGTGATCAATCGAAATCAATTAGCAAATGATTAATCAAAGCAAGAAAAAGAAGAAGCGAACTCAATCCAATCCAATGCACACGATTGTATTCAATAATCGTCTGGTACAATGGCTTTATACTGTTATGACCAAAAACTGCTAACCCTCTAACCTGTCATCTAAATCTCCTATTTATATGAAACACAAACGTAGAAGCCAACCCAAAACCGAAAACACCAAAGGACCGAAATCAAGGCGGATTTCGGTCCAACCAACCGAAAACATAAAATAAGCCCTAACTAAGAATAATAAAGCCTACAAAATATATATGCCTAGCACAAACCAATAAAATAGGTCCTAAGAATCTCCCCTTTTTTTATGGTAGCTTGATCTCAAGGCTTGTCGACGATCAGCACATCTGAGCTCCCCATAGCACCTGCCCACATCCTCTTGTTGATGATTTCAGCAACCATTCCAGTGAATTCTATGGTATCAACCTCCAAAATACCATCTTTGAACACGATCTGATGCCCTTCCAGAGTAAGGATATCATGCTCACCGAACGTTAAGAGATCATTCGCTTCAAGAAGACGAATAACACCAGTCAGAAGTTTGATGACGGTAGTGGATGTGGCCTCATCAAAAACCCAATATTCCATATTATGCAGAGAACTATCAGGTGACTGCTGAATAATAGGAATTTGTTTCATCTGCTTGGTGGGAGGCCACATCACATTCTTCACGGTTCGGTTGGTGTTGGGATAAAATACACCTTTTACTCTCTTCACGAAATAATCTGCAGTTTTCATCCCATCAAAATTTCTCTTCATTTGATTCTTCAAGAAGAGCTTAAAATTAGTTCCACGAGGATCATTTCATGGGTTGTGGATGGTAGCATGAGCTAATTCTGTAAGATCAACCTTACTCCAAGAACTAAAGTCATTTCGATGCTCGTAGTACTCCATATTGCCACTTTTTCTTTTGACCGCCCATATATTCTTCTTGTCGTGAAATCCCCACACCTTTATACCCGACTGATCGCCGTACTTAGTTGAGAATATTCATTTACCGAGCTCAGTGGCACTAACTCGAGGTCGGTCTCCACGAACATTTTGATCGGAGTTTATCTTGAAAAGCAATTGACCTTTTACCTTGAGTTTTGGCATGCCTCTGTGCTTGCTTCATGATTACTCTGGGATCAACATTAGAGGGTTCATTATCAAATCGGTCAACAATACGAGTTGCACTAGCCTGATGAGGAATATCTTATGGTGCTGAGGCAGGTACACTTAGGGATGCATTAACTTCATCAGGCTCATTGATAGATGCCTTGAACTTGTCACCCAATTCACTGATTAGCTTGTTCTTCAAATCAAAGTATCCAGCAGAAAGAGTACCAAGATTTACCTGCAGATCAGAAATTTACATTGACTTTTGAGCATTTTCTCTTTCATGCTCGAAAACTCTAATATCCAGGGTTCTAATCAAGACATCTTTCTCAATAAGCTTCTGATTCAAGATCCCGATTTCTTCCTTGAGCTAAAAAATTGTTGGATCTTCATTATCGGAGCTCCCAGCACCATATGATAAGCCTTGGCCTTTGGGTGCAGGATTAACACTTTCTTGAGAAAGAAACCTAGCAAGACTTTCATAAGCAGCATCATGCACAGGTCGAGGGGCCGAAGAACCAGCAGGAGCTGAAGAGCTACCCGGTTCAAAAGATGCAACACTAGGCCCCTCATCCAAAACTGTGCTCTCGACTTGAACTGGTTGGACTGGTGCAGTGGTTGTGCTTGGCTGTTGAGCTGGTAGAGTTTGTTCCCTAATGAATACTACCAACCTAGGATCAGCACGTCTTCATTAAAGTGGTGGTTGGGAGGCTTGAGACTCTTCAAGATCACATTCAGATGAAATAATGTTTTGATTAGCAACTTCTCGGGGAGGAATCCTTGCAGCTGAATCCAGTTCGGCTATAATCTCCGACATCTGAGTGGGCGTTTGAATTGGCAGCTTGAGAATGTTAGTATCTCCCTCAGTCTCTGTTGGAGAAATCACAACGTCATTGACTTCATCAACATCAAAAAACGAACAAAAGTCATCATCACTCATCTTAAAATCAAACATGAAATCTTCATCATTTAAACTCCTTCCAACACCCTCTTCGTCAATCCCTTCTCCTTCATCATCATCATCATCATCATCATCATCATCGTCATCAAAATTAAGAACGGGCACATGTTCCTCTTCCATGATTTCCAAAGGAGAAGTGACAGCAGGAACAACTTCAGGCTCATGAACAGGAATATCTTGAAGTACAGGGGCTTCTTTGATCTCAACAAATCTTCCAAATTTTACTAAAGGGCTTGTTCCCCAGAACACAACCTTTAAGCCCTTGCGATTCTATTTCATCAACCCAAAAGTGTTTGGACTCAAGGATTTCATATCCAAAGTTTAACATGTCCTTTCCAAATCGGGATATTGATCATCAAAGATCATATGTAAAAACCTTGGGTACATCAAGAATACATCCTTCTTTTTCCATTGGAGGTTTCTCTTCATTTCATTGAACACAGGTCTTGAAAAATTGAAGTCCAAATATATGATGAGAGCAACAATGGCACCCGTAGATGACTGGGAGATCTCATCCGCTCCCCCTTTTCTGCCTGAAATACATATCACGAAAGTGTGAGAAAGGAAGCACCCGTATGGAGGGAGTAGCTTCTTCAAGGTTGGAGGAATGGTTCCTTCATAGCACATTCTTTCAAGAACCTCCCTAATCTGAGTAGCAGGAATCTCAGTTGGGGATCCTGGCTGATCTCCAAATTGAAGAACTTCTCGAATGATTTGTTCAGACACAATAATTTTCTCCCCTTGACAGTTGATTCTATCGTGCCTGCTCTGTCTGCTCCTGCTTTATTGAAGAAGCTTTATCCTAGAAATCACCCACTAGATTTTTGTAAATGACAGGATTTTCTCTAAGTGCACGAGTGATTCTGCACTTGTTAAATCCATGAACCATGGACTTAAACTCTTGATGGCTCAGTGGTGAATCAGACAGACATCCAGCAATGTTTTGAGTTTCAACAAATTTCAAATCAGCCATTTGTCTGCACCAAACGAGCTAAATGAGAAAAGAAAAAATTAAACAAATAAAATTAATTTTCTCAAAACTTTGATTTCGATTAACTAAGGTTGATTTTGGTCAACCAAAGTTGAACAGGATCGAATTGTGCTTGAAATTCGTCAAAATTAAGTCGATTGCGGTCAAAGTGGTCAAAATATAACGTTTTCGGTCAAGGGGTTAAAGTTTATTGTTTTTGGTTGGTTTTGAGTTTTTGGCCGAAAACGTCCAACCGAAAACAAAAAATCCTTGAATTTGGGTTTTTGTCCGAAAACGTCCCACCGAAAACCTAAAACCCTTGAATTTGGGTTTTTGACCGAAAACGCTTCACCGACACCCAAAACCCCATTTTGACGAAGAACTTCCATCAGAATCGTTATTAGCTTCTAAAACCTGCAAAAAGTTAACAAAATCATGTTAGATCTGATGCACTGTGCTCGCAATCCACTTACGTTGACGAATCAATGAGCAATTTTCGATTAACCCCTCGAAAATGATGAATCGATGATATGAATCTGAACAACAAACAATAATGAACCGAGAGAGAGAGAGAGAGAGAGAATGAGGAGTTTTCGGCTGAGAACGTGAAAAATGAGGGGTAGGCCAAGATGCATGTTTTTATACCCTAATTAGGGTTTTCGGCCCATAAGGCTAAACTCGGTGGGCCTCCCAACGTTTAAATTCTCTAAAAATAATCCAATTCCTTTTACAATATATTTGAACGTTTTGATGACTTGAAAAATAAAATAAAATAAAAACTAAAATTTAAAAATGCAATTGAAATTTAATTTTTTAGAAAAATAAAGATAAAAATAAAATGAAAATTAAAAACAACACTAACCACAATTCAAGATTAAAATTTAAACATTTTGGGATCATAAGTTTTGAGACAACCTTAACATTGTTTTTCAGTACCTCACCTGCCTGAATAGATCGGTTCAATCACCAATATTGTGGTCCACTGAAATACAAAATATATTTACAAATTGGACAGATTATAAATGATAAGACATGGCACCTATATTCCTAAATGGACCATTTAGCTGACGACGACCAGGGATATTGTTGTCCACTTAAATTCAGCAGCGAGATCTATAGACAACTTTTTAAGTAGTTCAATTTTAGGTGTACTAGAACATGTTCCCCACTTCCCGACATACCCCGAAAATAAAGAACTTCCAAAGAACTCCTTACTTTAGGTGAGTAGACAATCCTTAAGAGGGACGATAGACATAGAAGTGCATATGTTGTGCCCCAGGTCGGATCTTTTCCAATCACGCAGAGGGGACAACATGTGACTAGCACAGATAGAGGGATTGAGAGGTAGAATGTTGCATATGTTGTGTTCCAGTTCGGATCGTTTCCAATCGTGCAGAGGAGACAATATATGGTTAACAGATAGAAAGAATTGCATAGATAAGAAGGTGTATAAAGATACAGTTGCATATGTTGCATTCTAGGTTGGATCTATTCCAATAATGCAGAGCAACATATGATTGACAGATAGAAAGCAAGAAAATAATTTCCTACATACCTATTTTATCAGAACCCCCAGTCGCCCTATCAGTACCGGAATTGAGGACATAAGTTCGTACATCGAGGAAATGTTAAGCCACAGTTCTAGATACATATGACATTAATGTATCCTGCAGGCTCCCTTGTTTATCTCACTGCTCAATCTACCCGAGCGTCGTATGGTCAGTCCAAATGAAACTATCAAAGTCCACATTGTCAAGTACTTTCATTGTCAATCTATGTCTAGTCCTTTTGAATCCTTCGTTCCTACCAACACATTGAGCACAAAGTCTAGACAATTCAACTTCAGTACCTTACACTTGTTTAAACTGCCCGTTATCACTCATTCTTAATATCACTTCCCAAATAATACCTACAAACTTCAGTATCTTACACTTTTGTATTTTGATTTTTCCCCTTAAATTTGTGCATAGGAGAAAAAAGAAATGAAAATAAAGTGACATAAAATAAAATGCGCAAATTTAAACAAAACAAAAAAAAATTAGTCTTCAAAACGAATCATCTTGAGAAAGCCCACAAGCACATCGAATCGAGCTTTACTCAATGGTTTGGTAAACAGGTCCGCCACATTATTATCAGTGTGGATCTGCTCCAAACGAATGAGCTTGCGCTCATAACAGTCTCGGATAAAATGAATTTTAATATCGATGTTCTTCGTTTTGGAATGATGAACAAGATTTTTAGCAATTTGTATCGCAACATCATTATCAAAAAATATGGAGGTGTCAAGAACTTTCAAATCGTAGTCCAGCAATTGGTGTTGTATCCAGACAACCTGTGAGCAGCAAGCTGATGCAGCGACATACTCAGCTTCGGTTTTCGAAGTCGACACCGTTTGATGTTTCTTGGATTGCCAAGACACCAACCTCTCCCTTCGAAACTGACATCCGCCTGAAGTTGATTTCCTGTCAAAATCACAACCTCCATAATTGCTGTCAGCGAAAGCATATAGGTGAAATTCATGAGTCTTAGGATACCATAACCCTAATTTAGGGCTACCTTTGAGGTATAGAATGATCCTTTTAACAACAATCATATGAGAGAGTTTAGGATTAGCCTGATATCTAGCGCATTGACAGGCGGCGAACATAATGTCATGTCTGCTGGCAGTCAAATACATAAAGATCCGATCATCGATGGATATTCAGTTTGATCTACGGAATCTCCTTTTGGATTTGGTCCCAGCAGAGGTCTTTCAGCCATGGGAGTAGAGGCAGTTTTAGCGTCTTTGAACCCGAAATTCTCAAGCATATCCTACACATATTTTCCCTGATGTAGCATGATTCTAGATGAATCTTGACGAACTTGTAATCCCATAAACATCGTCATTTCACCAAGTGAGCTCATTTCAAATCTCTTCTTCATGAATTCTTCAAATTCTTTGCACAACACAGGACTCGTCGACCCAAAGATGATGTCATCCACGTAGATTTGGACGATAATCAAGTCTTTATCCACTTGCTTTATGAACAGCTTTTGATCGATCATGCCTCTTGTGTATCCATGCTCCAGCAGATGATCTGTCAGGGTAGCATAGCAAGCTCTAGGAGCATGATGTAACCCATACAAATCCTTATCTAATTTGTAGACATGATTTGGAAATTTTGGATTGACAAACCCTGGGGGTTGATCAACGTAGATCTCCTCCTTCACGACTCCATATAAAAAGGTGGTCTTGACGTCCATTTGATAAACAGTAAACCCCATGTAGGAAGCATATGCCAAGATGATACGGATAACTTCTAAGCGTGCCACAGGAGCATACACCTCAGTGTAGTCAAGACCTTCAATCTGCCGGAAGCCACGAACAGCAAGACACACCTTGTTTCGCACAATTACCTCACTATCATCTTGCTTATTCCTGAATACCCAGCGTGTATCCAACGACTTCTTTCCCTTTGGTAACTCAAATAGCTTCCACACCTTCAACTTGTCATATTGGTTCAATTCTTCATGCATAGCGTCCACCCAACTTGGTTCATTAAGAGCCATGTCTACCTTCTTGGGCTCAATATGACATATGAAGCATGAGTAGAGACATGAGTTGACATCTCCACTTTGTCTTCGGCTGATGTCATTGACTGAGATTGGAAGGTTGGTGATGTTGATGAAACTGTCTTCTGCCAAATCACTCGCCTCAGATGATCTAGGACCATGAGAGGTACTTGCCACATATTCATTTGAGATAGGTTCATGAAAAAGGAGCTCCATGAATGATTGTGTAGCAGCAGATTTATCCCTTGTCATGATTTCACTTTCTTCAAGGGAAAGGGGAGTGACATCAGCATCAGAATTGGTCTATTGACTTGATCAAGAAACGGGTGTGTTTAGAGTAGCTTAAACCACATTAGTAGACTCAGGAGACACCAAGTGTGATTTGTATGAATGAATTACAACATCTTCCTTTTCATATTCAATAACATCACTCGTAGCTGAGTTGGTACCTGAAACAGTATCTGAAAACACATTAAAAGATTTAAACAGTGAAACATAATCAAACAACCAATCAGGTCCGACTCGAGCATCCGTCTCGTTCTCTTCCAGCCAGAGCACGTCGTATGAATCTACAATCTTTTTAGTGGACTTGTTGTAA